AATCTAACCAGCGCATCATCTAATCAGGCCAAACTATCCCAATCACTTGTAATCCATACTAGCATGAAATTCTAAATGCTTAAACAATATGCATATAAAGGCATCTCTTCTGATCATGAAATCTTGAGCAGATCCTTAGTCCTATTCTAGCATGCATATATCATAACAAATAGGTATAGGTATTCTACGAATCGCTTACTTGATCTCGGTTGATTACAGGCATCACACCCCCCTTTTCTATGTAGAAATGCTTTTATAAAACTGATTTTCTTTCAAAAGATTACCATTTTCTCAGTTTGATTTCATACATACCTAATAGTGTGTCCAAATCCCTCAAACCAAGGCTCTGATACCAACTTATAACGTCCCAAAAATTATAAGGTAAAATTTTCATTTTTAATTCAGCTATAATATAATACCCCAAATTTAGAAGGTCAAGGAAGGAAAGAAAACCCCAAGATAAGAGGTCTACTCGTCGAGTCCAGGGAGGAACTCGACGAGTGGGAGTGAGTTCCGTGTCGCGGAATAAGTAGCCGACTCGGCGAGTCTAGCCTGGGTTGGGAAAACCCTAATTTCGAGACTTGGTGCCCTATTTAAGCATCATATTCTCATTCCCTCAACCTCATATACAGCTCCCAGACCCCAAACCCACACCCACGAAACCCTAGTGCACCTTGCTAGTGTTTGAGCCACCTTTGTCTGATTTTTGTGCTCTTGAAGAAGAAGAAGGAAAAGAAGGAAGTTTGAGGTTCAAGAAGGAGGAAGTAGATCCAGAAGATACACTCCAGTGGCTGCATTTCTTGGTAATCAAGTCTTCATCTTGGGTTTCAATTTATTAGATCTCTTCATAGTCCCTTTTATGAAGATTTTGGTCCATGAATGAGTGTGTGTGGGATTTTGACGTCCCCAAGTAAGATCCTTTCAGATCTGCGAGTATTGTGGGCAGTTAAGGCATAAAGGTGGAAGTTTTATGCCATTAGAACTCCCCATGCAAAGTATAAGAGGTTATTATGGCCTTTTGAGAAAAAAGGACCATGCATGAGCATAAAGTCCTTAACTTTACGTGTTATACCGACCCTAAGAGGTCAAATATACCCTTTGGATGAAATGAGCTCAGCAGAAATCGAGTTTATGGACATGGACCTTAAGGGACTCGGCGTGTCGTTCATGGGACTCAGCGAGTCGGGGATTGGTTCCCAACATTTTCTGTTTCGGAGAAATCTGGTAGAGTCTAGAATGGAGGACTCAACAAAATGGACGTAGTTATGGACCTGGAAGACATGGGACTCGGCGAGTCCAAGATAATCTCCCAACCCATGAAGACGGACTCGAAGAGTTGTTCATATAACTCAGCGACTCATAGACTGGACACATTCATATGATGAAGATGGACTCGACGAGTTCAAAGGTGAACTCGGCCGATTCTGTTCAATAAGGGTCCTGATGTGTTTAAGGGTGAACTCGATGAGCTCAAGGAAGACTCGACAAGTTAGTTCGCGATTTCAGGATCCTTAGCGTTAGGACTCGACGAGTTGATGGAGCAACTCGGCGAGTCAAGTCAATCTGGAATTGTTGACTTTGACCATGGATCGTTGACTTTGACTTTGTCCATAGTTGACTTAGTTTGACTTCCGGAGGGCATTTTGGGGCTAAGTGTTATGTTGGTATTGTAGATCGGGGAGGTAGGGGAACAGTAGCTCAGTGGAATGTCAGATAGCAGCCAGAGGTGTTTCAGTCAGTCTTCAGCCGTGTGAGGTGAGTCTCCTCATTGTGTGAATGGTTCTAAGGCACCAATGCCAGCCCATTTAGTGTATGTATGACAGGAAGACCCGGGGGTTAGCCCTAGGCATTGTGTGCTAGTATGTTGTTCCGGACCAAGGTCTGATGTCGGGTGGGTGCCCGAGGAAGGTCGTTATGTGTATGTTATTCCGGAACAAGGTCTGATGTCGGCGTAAGCCCGAGGAATGTTTGCATGATAGTTTATACTTGTTGTATGTGTGATACTTGTATGTGCCTGGTAGGGAGGTGAGTGTGGGCGAGGTCCCGTACCTCATCACTAGCAGAGTACGAACGGGGTTCCGTATCTCATTAGCAGCAGACAGGGGCGGGGCCCGAAGTAGGAGATAAGTGAGTATGATCGGGGGCCCGTATCTCACTATCAGCAGGAGCGTGGATGGGGTTCCATGACTCACCAATAGCAAGACAGGGGCGAGGCCCAAGATAGGTGAGGCCTTAGAATAGGATTGCAGTAGAATATGTTTAGATTATGTGTTATGTGTTATGTAAATGTTTGAGTATGTTTAGCGGGCGGGGCCCAGAGACAGGTGGTGCCTAAGAGAAATAGATATATATACCCAGCGAGGCTCGATGTTAGGCGGGGCCTGATGTCGGATTCGTCCAATGCCGGGCGGGGCCCGATGTAGCAGGCTAGGCCCAATGTTGGCACTATGAGTTTATGTATGGTATGTGGTAGATTTGGAAACTCACTAAGCTTCGTGCTTACAATTTCAGTTTTGGTTTTAGGTACTTCTGGTAGCGGAGGCAAGAGCTCGGGATGATCGCATGGCACACACCAAGAAGTTTAGCATGGGATGTTTACTTTGATAATAAGAACATGTTTTGAGATGATACTGTGATTTGATATAACTGTTTTCGTTATAAATGGAATGTTTGGAAACTATGGTTTATATATTAAAGAGTAAATTACTGAAATCGTCCCTGTGGTTTGTTCAAAGTTGCACGTTTGGTCCCTAACTTTTTTTTGCACTCGGATTGTCCCTGTGGTTTGATTTTGTTGTGTTTTTCGTCCATGTAGTTTGATTTTGTTTCATTTTTCGTCCCTTACATACATAACGTTAGGGACCAAGCATGCAACTTTTACCAAACCATAGGGACGAAAAATGCAACAAAATCAAACCACAGGGACGATCCGAGTGCAAAAAAAAAAGTTAGGGACCAAACGTGTAATTTTGATCAAACCACAGGGATGATTGTAGTAATTTACTCTATATTAAAAATAAAATTTTTGGCCTGTATTTTTGGAATGTTACATATAAACACCATTCATCCTTTTCAATCATTCAAAAGTATATCAAAATAAAAGTAGTTATCAGAGTACAATCCCAAAATCAGAAAGTTGTGAAAACATGGGTGCATGCACTACGATCAAGTCGATCCCTTCCCTTTCGAACCGAAAGTACCTGAAACCATAACCATAAACCGTAAGCACAAAGTTTAGTGAGTTTACCAAAATACCACATACCATACATATCCTTCGGACTATCCCTCACATTAGGCCCAACCCACAATAATGGGCCTAGCCCTTCCTAACTAATGGGTCTAGCCCAACATACAAATACAAGAGTCACAAAGACAGATAGCATTCCTACATAACATACATTAGGCCTACCCTTCCTGATCCATGGGCTCAACCTAACATACAAATGGGCCTAATCTGTCATATAATGGGCCTAGCCCGACATGCCATGCAAGAGTCACAAAGATAGCTAGCATATAACAGATCCTAGTAGACCGGCATTGGTACATTCGACCCACGTGTACAATGAGGAGACTCACCTAAATCACAATGTTTACTAACATTCAGCTCAAAGCCACACAACCACTGTACAGGACTCCTAACACAACATACAAGGTCCAACCTTAGACTACCTACTAAAATCAGCCATCTTGGCCAAAAGTCAACCCATGTCAAAAGTTAACTGTCAAAGTCAAAGGCCAACGTTGACTTTAGTCAACCGCCACGACATGGCCACCTATGGCCATGACATGGCCCTCAAGCAACAACCCATCACGATATTCCATATTGTCACACTGTAGCGACCTGTTGCCACGTCGTAGGCACTGAGTTTTTCAGCAGCTTAATGGATTAAGCTGCCTCCCTCGATCCTAAAGGCTCCAAATTTCATATATGGTCCATAATATTTTCTAGATGAATAAAGTTTCCAACTTTATCAAATAATACATCCAAAGAGATCAAGATCTCAAACCCTAAGTCCACATGAAGCCAAAATCCATGATATCTTAATCATTATGTCATTAATCCGAAAAAGTCCTTAACCTAACTTCTCCAGAAGGGTTTCTAATACCAGATCTATCATAAAGGTGGAATATTTATATACACGCATGTCTAATACATGTCTAAGATCCATCTTAGGTCAAAATATGAACCCTAAAGACCAAAACTTAAGCAAATGATAAGATCTTTCATCAAAGACTTGATCTATAACATATAATACTCTTAGGACTCACGAGAGTCGTAAAGTTGCCAACTTTATAAGTTCCTTCCCTCAAAACTTGCTCAAACATGAGGAACATTGGATAATATTCAAGATCTAGCCACTAAATGACATAAAGCAAAGAACTTGGACACTTACAAAGGTCCAAAGATAATATGAGGTGATGATAAGGTTGATTCCTTGCAAGTTCCACCAAAATATCACCTTTTTCTTAATCTTCTCTTCTTCTTCAAGCCAAGAAATCTCCAAAAAGCTTAAGAATCAAACAAGGGATGGAGGCTAGGGTTTTCTGAGGTGAAAGAGGGCTTGGAGGCTGATAATGAACCCTAAAATGGGTTTAGAGGGGTTTAAATACAAAGAGAACCCTAAAAGAATGATGGGCTTGGGCCAGAATAGCTGCCACAACGTGGCAACTCATGGTCACGTCGTGGTGGGTCAATAAAATACGCATGTCATTTATTCAGTGTCACGTCGTGGGCATCCGTGCTCCACGTCGTGCATAGAGTTTCTCCCAAAAACTTTATTTTTAGCCCTAGAGAAAATAAAGCTAAACCATATTGGAACACGGGTGTTACAGTGTTATGGAGTGCTTTGTAATGGTATGGATCGAGACCCAGATTATCTGACGTCTAACCAATGTAAGAGAATCTTGTTAGCAAACTCGTAACACATTGGAACGGAATTTACACAGGCTTCAAAAAGATATGGGCTAGCGGCAAAAGTGAAGCGAGTTTATTAAAAAAAATGCACGCGACATTCCAAGATGACATGTTGAAGCCTTTTATCTTTATTCATGTGTTGGAAGTTATAAAAAAAAGCATTAGGTGGAAGGAGCTTGTAACACATGAAGACATTGCTAATTTGCCAAAAAGAAGTCGAACATCTTCATATTCGAGCTCACAACAAATATCACTGAATGTTCACATTGATGTTGATCTTAATGATGATAAAGACGACATCGAAGAAATACGTCTGCCTCCTCATCCCATGAGAAAGGACAAAGCAAAAGTTCGAGCAAAAGAAAAGTAAAAAGCGACATCGTCAAATTTTTCAGTTGGAATGGAGCGGTCAACTAGATCGGAGGAAATGATTGTACAATTGAATACAACTTTGGATAAGCATATGACTGAAATGGTCTGACTCACAAAATATTCATTGTTGGTACAAGATGTGAGGCACTTCAACCCGAAGATTAGGAGGTAGCTAAATTGCTAAAGACTGCGATTCATAAAAAAAATATAAGCTTAAACGCAATTGAAATTTGGATGTTATTATTTTTTTCTAGTTTTTTTTAATGTTTCACTTCATGTTTTTTTTAGGTTTTTAATGTAATTTTTAATTTCATGTTTTTTTTAGGATTTCTAAAATGTAAGTTGTAATTTTATGTTATTTTTAATTTAGGTATTGTTTTTATTAAAAAATGAAAAAACATCATAAATGGTCCCTGTGGTTACCCAAAATCTGAAGTTTAGTCCTCGTGGTTTAAAAACCTCATAGATGGTCCCTGTGTTTTCAAAACCTTTGATGTTTGGTCCTTTTTGGTAACTCCGTTAAATTTATCCGTTAACTGAAGGGTATTTTCATCATTTCACCACCACAGAGACCATTTATGATGTTTTCTTTTCTTTTATTTTTTTTAAATTAAAGTTAATCTCTCTCTCTCTCTCTCTCTCTCTCTCTCTCTCTTGATCGATCGATCGATCGATCGATCGAAACGTATAACCCTCCCTCTCGTTCGTATCTCACCAACTAATACCATCGTTTCCCAACCTCCTCTATCCTCCTCCTTATTCAAACCAAGAACCACCACCGCCTGCTACCTTTCCTCTCCACTCACCGCCGAGGACAAACACCACCAAGGGTGGTGTTCCTGTGGTGACCACCGAGAGGCACAATCACTTACTGTGGTGACCATTCATCGTGAAAAGAAACCCTAAAGTGATTGGGTCGACATGATCTTGACCACTGTCCAAGACAACGATCTAAAATTGATTTCATCATCGACGAGATCTTGAGTTGATTAGGAGAACGAAGGCAAAGATGGTATGGGAAAACACAATGATGGCGGCAATAACAAATAAGAAAGATGGATTGTCCAAGACACGTTGTTCTTACTTGATGTCGATTTTTGGATTTCTCGGTAGAGGCGAAGGCGGTGATCGGCGAATTACAGTTTCCTACCCTCCAGATTTAGCGATTGTTGTGGAATTCGTCTTGATTGTTACAATGGAGAGATCCGTTTTGGTGAAGATCATCCCTACATATACAAAAATCGATTTTAGGTTTAGGGTTCACATCAGAAATTGATTCAGATTAAGCAATGGTTGTGGAATCCATGTCCTTCCCTCTTTCTTGTCCTTAAAATCATAACATATTGTGTAATGGATAAATAGAGATTTCATCAGGTTTGTTTAAGATTTTTTTTCTGGGATTTTCATTATAAATCAAGAACCATAAGTATAAATTTCACTCTGGTTTTGGTTTCCTTTTGATTTGGTGCAGGTGTTGGCGATGGTAGTTATCGATGGGCGATGGTGGTTATCGGATCTGATAGGTTTCCTATTCTAATTTTGATTTTGATAACTTATGTGATTTAGGGTAAGGGTAAATGATGAAGGAGATAAGAGGGTTGATTCGACTAAAGATGAAGATGGGTCTAAGGGGAGAGAGAGAGAGAGAGAGAGAGAGAGAGAGATTAAATTTAATTTAAAAAATAAAAGAAAAAGAAAACATCATAAATGGTCCATGTGGTGGTGAAATGACGAAAATATTCTTCAGTTAACAGACAAACTTAACGGAGTTAGCAAAAAGACCAAACATCAAAAGTTTTGAAAACACAGAACTTCAGATTTTGGGTAATCACAGGGACCATTAATGATGTTTTTCTTTAAAAAATTGAAATTTAAAAAAAAAAAAAAAAAAAAAAAAAAAAAAAAAAAAAAGATAAAACCATTTACCACACCCTAGTTCGTAGGTAAAATTTATATAAAATGTAATTTTATCATTCGCCAAAAATATATATTTTATTAAGATAGAGATTTCGTCGGCAATTCTAAAAAAAACATAAATTTATTAAAACTTAAAAGTGTGTTTTTCTTTTGTCATTTAAAAAAACGACATTGTATTTTCTTAAGATAATCAAAAATTGAAAAATATTTTTATGAGACGAGAAAGTAATAAATTATTATGATTTTGTTTTCGTGCTGTCCATGCGCATGGTCTTGGACTTGCCGTTCATTGATTTGTCTCTTTGTTAATTAAATTTGTTTCTAGTTCCAAATGAAACTATATGCCAAAAGATGAATCCTTTATTTAAAACAACGATTTTGCATTTCTATCTTCTCTCTAGTTATCAAAACCTATAGCTTGAAGCTCTCATATGGATTCAGTTGCTACAAAATCTGAAGCAAGTCTAAGAAGGCGTAACTCATTTAGCACGATAAGTGACGCATCAAGTACAATTGTGAAAAGACGGCGTAGATGTCCGTCTATGCTAGCATTGAATGATCACAAGACCAACAACGAGGGAAACCAGATTCAGACATCAACAACACCACTTGGTGATCAATCCAGTAACACTGTCACCACCACCACCCCAACCACTGTGAAGAGAAGCTCCAAGTATCGAGGAGTTAGCAGGTTTGTTTGGACACTTAACAGATAAAGTTCATGTCATAAATGGGCAAGGCAATTAGTATTATTTTTCTCACTAGTTAACATTGTTTTATCACTATTGTAAAAAAAAAAAAAAAAAAAAAAAAAAAAAAAAAAAAAAAAAAAGTATTATCAGAGGGTAAGCAGCTCAAACTTTGTGTTTATAAAAATCTTATTTTTATAGTATTTTCCGCACAATCTTCCAATTATTTATTTCCAGTGGTCCATTATTTTAAATAATGGTACTTTGTAATAAATAGATAAATAATAGTTCCTTGCCCATTTAAGATATTAACCCTTACATATATAAAAAAAAAACGCTAAAGGGATGTTTTTTTTTCAAGAAACGTCGAGGTGGGGTGCCTCGCATTATGGACAGTTGCCCCCTCGTAAACTACAATAAGTTAAAAAGTCATGTATATGGTTTAAGGTTTTTTTTTTCAAAATTTCGTAGATAACTATGTTCATTTTTTTGTTAATCTCATTTTCGTCATAACTTGAAGAGAAAAAATATTACTTGTTCACCCATGGTCAACGGGATGGTTGTTTTTTTTAACGTGGGAAGTTTTCTTGACAATGACATTTAAAACTTCTTGATGTGTTAAGATTCCAACAAACTTTTGTTTTGTGAATTAATGATTGAATAACGGTTTTTATGAATTTATAGGCATCGATGGACGGGAAGATACGAGGCTCATTTATGGGACAAAGGGTCGTGGAATGCGACACAAAAGAAGAAAGGAAAACAAGGTTTGTTATGTTGATCTTTATCAATGTTCACAAACTTGAGTCAAATTTAATTAAAGATAATGCAAAAAATTTGTCCATTTGTTTCCTTTACTATAAAGTTACTAATCCAGTTTCTTTATTCATATGTATATGTTGCAACTATTTGGATGAAGCAGTTTATCTTGGTAAGAAACTAATAAATCAACATCAAAAAAATATTTCATAGTCTTATTTCAAAACTACAAGAGAGTAAAATGCAAATGATTTGGATTTACAAAATCTGTTAATTAGGGGCATATGATGAAGAAGAATCTGCTGCAAGAGCCTATGATTTGGCTGCAATCAAGTATTGGGGAACCACAACTTTCACAAATTTCCAGGTTATTAATTCTTTTTTTTAAACAACAAATCTAATCCACTGTTAAACTACTTTTAATTTTAATTCCAAGTATATGCAGGTGACTGACTATGAGAAAGAATTGGAGATCATGGAGAACACAACCAAGGAGGAGTATTTAGCCACCTTGAGAAGGTAGTATATATATATATATATATATATATATATATATATATATATATATATATATATATATATATATTTCTAATAATTAAAATTTATATATGATACAAAATGATGAAACTGTCCTTCATTCACAGGAGAAGTAGTGGTTTCTCAAGAGGTGTATCAAAGTACAGAGGGGTTGCAAGGTGATCATTTTTTCTTAAAAAAAAAAAAAAAAAAAAAAAAATTATTTTTTTCCAATTTAATCAAGATGCTATGATTTGATTAACCACTCCGCAGGCATCATCACAATGGTAGATGGGAAGCAAGGATAGGAAGGGTATTTGGCAATAAGTATCTTTACCTTGGCACTTATAGTGAGTTTCCAGTTTTACCCTTCACTTTAATTAATTAATGGTGATTTAAATAATTAGGACATTTGATCATCTTCAGGTACACAAGAGGAGGCTGCTCATGCATACGATATTGCAGCGATAGAATATAGAGGAATCAATGCAGTAACAAATTTCGATTTAAGCACATACATAAGATGGCTGAGAACCAGTTCCAATTCCGGTGGCGGCTCCTCCCAGGCACAAGACCAACCACCGCCGCCCACCACCAGCAGCCACCATGTGAATCCACTTATGGAGGAACCTGAACCTCAGTTTGCTTTCGGTTCCAGTTCCGGTTCATTACCATTAGCGATGACTCCTCAGAACCAACAACTCGTTGACACAAAGATGATGCTGCATGATTCCGATTCCAATCATAACGATTCATCATCACCTGCGCCGAGTGCTCTAAGCCTTCTTCTCAGGTCATCCATGTTTAAGGAACTCGTGGAAAAGAATTTGAATGCGGGGAATGAAGAAGAACATGAGACGAAGATGAAAACCGAAGGGAATGAATTTCGAGGGATGTTTTTCAACGGAATGTGTCCTTCAAAGGTGGGAATGGAATTGGATGAGAAAGACGAATTGCCGTTGTTTCGGAATCCAAACCAGTCGCTATGGAATGGTTCCTTGAACATGAACAAGTCTTCTAGGCATTAATTAACAACATTACAAGCTAGAAACATATAGATGACTACTTGTGTTTAATAAATAAAGGTTTTCAAGATTGTACACATGCATTACAAATAAAACTTCTTGGTGCAAAAGCGTCTATATAATAAATAATATACACGTACACCCTTCGAGAATTGGACATGAGTCCCAAGAGGGTTGACCAGGTCGTACGGGAGGGTCTTTTGTCCGATGATGCATCTTTTGGGGACTTGTTTCGCAAGACGCATTACGTATAGCAGTGTCATACATCGTTGTAAGCCTTGGGAACAAGTCCTACAAACAAAGACCATACTCATAGGCCTTGATGAGTGTACTTCATCTTATGTTGTGTCTTATACTACATACATACATAGGTTACTAGACGTATAGTCTACTTATTTGTAGTCAAACGAGTACATTATAACCACATTCGTAGTTTGTACCTTCGGTGCCCAAAAATTTTCAACAATGACCATTTATTCCATAGAAGTTAGGTTTTCATTATTTAGATAAAATTGGACTAATATTAGATTATTTGGTTTGTTTATTTGGATTTTTAGATTGTTTTTTTTTTTTTTTTATCAAAATCTAATTATTATTTTGGATTTTAAGTTGGTCTTGGTTTATAAAATAGAAATTGAATAGTCCGAAAAAACATAATAGCATTTTATTATTTAATTATTTATTTTAACATATATCTTCAATTATTTATTGATTTAGTAAATTATTTTTTCATATGAATTTAAAAAGTTCCACCTAATAAAAAAAGTTAATAGTTATTTTTTCTATAAAGTATTAAACTATAATCTATTTTATTGGTAGTTTATGAGTTTTAATCCACAACAAAATAATTTGTTTCTGTTTATTCTATAAATTTAGTTAATATTCTATTTCTATGTGTTTTGAAAAGTTATGGCTTTTGAAAACTGAATTGTAATTTGGTTGGATCTGATTAGATTTAAATTTAGTCTGGATTATTCATATTTATGTCTTGAAACCGAAATCAACTTGGATTCATTTGATCGGATCAGATAAAACTGATACATCCAAGCGAACACCCATAGGCAAAGGGTCTATGTAGAATACTAATGCAACAGTATTAATAAAACATAATAAAAAATTTAAAGGTGATAAGAGTCTATACAACAAATGTTGTGTATAAAAAGTATTGTGGGATTAATAATATATAATCAGTCATGTGCTATTACATGACTGGTTATATTTTGTGTATTTTTATATACTTCTATTATTTTTATTTGAATTGTTAACACATTTTATATTTTGTGCCGCATTAAACCATTTCTTTTTATCAATTGTTTCATGTACCATGTCACAATAAATGCTAAGGATGTCAATTTATGACACGATACGACAAAATACACAAAACGAAATGCAATCGAGACGAAATCGAAATTCAAATTCGTGTTCGTGTCAAGATTAAAAAACACGATGTCGTGTCGTGTCGTGTTCGTGTTCATAATTGACACGAAATTGACACGGTTAAGCATGTGGTTGTCGTGTTTTTCATGTTTGTCGTGTTATATATCTTTAAGTATGAATGAAATACACTAATAGTTATGTAATATTATCTTTATCGTGTCGTGTCGTGTTGTGTTTTATTTAGTTCGTTTTCGTGTTAATGAAAAAAAACACGACATCGTGTCTTCGTGTCATCCAAAACTTTGTCGTGTCGTGTCGTGTCGTGTCGTGTCGTGTCGGACAAAAACTAGACACGATTGCCCCCAATTTAACAACCCTAATAAATGCCAAAGTTAGATTCTATTGTTTTAGAAATATACTATCTTTCGATCATAACACTTTGTAAAAGAAACATATCGTCTAAAATAAGTATTCATCAGTGTAGTTTTATGCGGGTCCATCACTAGTGTGTGTGTGTGTGTGTGTGTGTGTGTGTGTATACATATATATATATAGAGAGAGAGAGAGAGAGAGAGATCATTCTTAATAAATGAATGTTTTTTTTGCTACATATCAATCTCTCATGAGTTTTGACACTTGTCATTTTGTGGTAATTTTAAAATAAATATTATCCACTTGTAAATTTTTTGTTTGTTTTATTTTTTAAAATTAAAGTCATATACTTATATATGTAAATTATTAAATATCATATATATGATATTAAATTGTAATAAAAACGTTTCTTCTTTTTTTTATTTTAAAGTTGTATATTAAAAAATATTTTATGTTGCTATTTTAATTTAATGTTTAACTTTTTTTTAAATCAACCCATGTAATATATATATATATATAATTAAGTTAGATATGATTGGTAGACTATGACTATGATTAGTTAGAAAGGTTTCCAATTGTAATTTTAGAATTCATGTATAAATCTGACCACATGTAATGAGAAAGTCATGACGTTTAACCCATGCAATATCTATCAATGGTAGATAACAAAATCATTATCAGTTACAATGGAATGTGATTTTCAAAGGATGGAATGGAATTGGACAAAAAAACTGAAGTCACCATATTGTTTCAAAATCCAAATCAGTCAACTGGTTCATTGAACATGAACAAGTCCCCTCTAAACATTAACCATAAATAAACGTTTTCACTATTCTACATGTTACAAATATGATGAGGGGCAATATCGTCTTTATATCAATTTGACCGTATGTCTCCTGGTCAACATTCTTGATTGTAATTGTTTCTCTGGATCTAAATTCTCAGCAATCTCCTTTACACCATCAAGAGAAAGAATTCCACCAGATGAGAGATGACCATCAAACGACTTCCCAGCAAGCTTAAACTGTTTCTATAATTATAATACAAAAAAAATTATAAAAACTGTGGGAATATTCCATTAAATTTTTTTTAAAAATAAAGTCAAACCTGTGCAGTGCCAGATAACTTGTTTCCATCGGCCATATTGCAGAGGTACCACACTCCAAGATTAGTCATATCTTGTTTTTCTTCCAACGTCATTATCTTCCCATTCTGCAAACCAATTAACAAGAACCAAAATTTATAAAAAGCAACAGGAAATGTGAATTAACAAAAGCTTTATACGGCTTTTTTTTTTTTTTTTTAAAAAAGAAGACTCACCAAACCAGATATCATCTTATTTAGTGAATCCAAATCATACCCTATTTGGGAAACATCAGCACGAACATCAGTCACCTGTTGTACAAATTCAACAAATCCATTATATATTTATATTATTATTATATAAAACCATGTAATGTAATATTCATGTTCAACAAATGTACCTCGTTTTTAATTAGTTTTGATATTTCAACTTGATCATCCAATTTCCCATCCAAATTCTCAATCCTCTGGGTTAAGTGCCTCTTTGCTGCCTGATTAAACAAAACCCAAAAACAGTATTAAATAAAATAAAAAGTATGAATGTAGACATGATATGAGGTAATTAAAAAGAACAACAGTTTTTTATGCTTAAAAACTTACAGCGAGAGCATCTGTAACTTGTTCTAGATTTTTTGTCAAATTTGACACTGCATTTGCCATGTTACTCTTGGTGACATACATGAGGTCTGAAAATGAAACGCCCTAAACACAAGATTTGAGAGAAAAAAAAATGTCAAAAATTTGACATAATGTTTGACAAATGAATTAAAAAACATTTTTTGTGTGAATCAAAAGTCAAAACAAAGCAATAAGCATATACCTTCCACCACATGTAGCCATAGCCCACTGCCCCTAATGCAGCAACAGGTGCCACCATAGATGTTATATTACCTATATTTTATTGTAAGATGTAAGATTTACATTACAAAAAAAAAATGGAAATAAGAATCTAACCAAAAAGTGACTTTTTCAATGCCTTTGAAACAGTGTACAACATACCACTACAACCCCCATTTAAAACAGTGATTTGATTTTGACGTGAAGAAGCTAGCTGTCTAACTTCCATTGCTAACCTTCGAACCTGTTTTTTTTTTCTTTCAGAATCAAATTCAATTACCATATACTTGTAAACAACGTATAGAAAAGTTGAAATTTTGTAATTGCTTTATTGAAAACTAAAATTTTACATTAACAGCTTGTGGATAAAGCAATACCTGGCTAGCAATGGCATCTGAATAATCACCTTCAGCTCCATCTCCTTGTTTTCCCTCATATCCTTTCACTAAACCCTGCCCAATTTAAACTCTATTGGAATTAAAACCTAATCAGAGCTTCAAATTTTGGTCTTTGGAAAACTGAATCACTTGAGATCACATGTATGTCAAATGGGTATCGTTTACCTGAAGTTCGCCCAATACATCAGAAAGCTTCCCGTTTTTAAACAGCAATGTACCAGTGTACCCTGCAGACAAAGCAGATCCATATGTGGATCAAATTAACGACTCTCGTACACATTATATCTCTCGAACTCACAACCTAATGATTGTATAGATTTAACTAGCACCATTGGCGCAAAAACCACTGTATAAGCTCACGAACTGGGGCATGGAAGGTAATATATATATATATATATATATATATATATATATATATATATATATATATATATATATAATATGATCGACTTGATTAGCATATATGCAGTTGAAGATTATAAATAGGTATGGAATAGATGGAGGAGTATGATTGTGTAAAGAAAAAGAAACCTGTTCCTACTAAGATGATGATCTTATAAAACCCCATGCCAGCATGCGTCGCCATAGCCGCTGTGGAATCCTACAGGAACGAAATCAAACCCTCGTTTGTGTCTGATGAAGAACACTGACCGCTGTTCTAACACCATGCCAAAACGTCGTCGTCAAAGGTTTAGCAGCAGCCGCGTGATAGATCCACAATGTTTGGGCCGACTAATTGAACCTGGGCCTAAATTTTTCGGGCTTTCTTGTTTGTGTTGTTTGAAGGAAGTAAAAGCATAATTTTAAAGATTTATTATTTGAGCTATTTATATTCCCTGAAGTGTAATATGCATTTGATCTCTTTTTTATTATTTATAGAAAAATGATCATCCATCAACAAGATAGTACCTCGCGAGTTCGTAAGGAGGGTCCACTTTGCCATAAAGTAACCTCGCAAGATCTTTTTTGATGTCCTAATATTTATTATTTAGCAAATGATAGCTCTTATCTATTAATCTGTGAGTTTTACCCAGTTTAAATGATAAATGCGTGCTGATTGGCAGCCTTTATATGATAAACTGTCTTTTCATAAACCATGTTGATATTATGTAGAGAAACTTATATTAATTATATGAAATGATCCATCATCCATGAATATAAAAGAAGAGGTGGATAAAATCTTTAATGTTGCAGAAGGCAAACAAGCAAATTAAAATGATCCATAAACGTTGAAGAAGAGTTGGATAAATCTTTAATGTTGTAAGAAAGGACCAACAAGCAACTTATAAAGATTTATATCCATCATTTGTAGTGAAAGAGCAATTGAGCAACGATTAACTAACTACTAGCTACATGTGATATTATAAAAGGACAAAAACAACATATAATGTTGGACAAAACAATAGTATATGATTAGTGAAACTGTTTGCTATTTTCATTGTAGAACATATATTATTCCACAACAAAAATGGAAAAACAACCCATTGCCATTGACACACTTCTGGCGATTTTCATTCCTATTAACTACAACAGAACAAAGGATTTGGAAGATATTTTTTCACTTTGATTTACTCTCAGAAAGGAACAATAACAACCATGAAAATCCACAAGAACAAATACTACCCATGAGCCAACCATTGCATTATATCATTACGAACAACTCCATTAAACCCAAAACTCTTCTTGCTGCTTGAAACCAATTCTCTGTACTGCATATTACTCGCAACAAGCTCTCGACGCCTCAACAACTTGGCAATAGTCGGATATGTTGTAAGCCAAAGATTTCTCGACGATGTAACAAGGCGCCTTCCAGATTCTCGATACCCAAATCCTCCTCTACTTTTCTGTTGAAATGATTCTATCAACTGCATGTTTCTGTTTGGCATTCTCATCGTGTTCCTCCCATATGGAGCAAAACTTCCAGCTCGAATCTGGGCCACCGGTTCCATCTTCTCAAGCCACTTGAGAATCCAATTGCCCAGATTCCGACCCATTTCAATGTCTCTCCGTTGTACCTCGCGATGAACCTTCAGTGTTGCATCAAATACAGTTCGAGTTTTCCTGTTATACAACAGATTTATAATCAAATTGAGTAATTGACCACAAAACCTAATCGACGGTCGATAGAATTTGTAAATATCAAAAGCTAAAGATTGAGAGATAGACACCTGTGGAGGAATTGACGGATCTTGGGGTGTTTAGGGCTAACAAGACGACGTTGAATGTGAAGAGCAAGCCTGTATGTTCTCTTTAACCCTAAGAAATACGCCGTCCCTAATGTAATTTCCCATAGCACCATTGTTATGCAACAAGATCTTGGCTGAATTCTGTCTATGTAGTAGAAATAGAATAGCGTCCCATGACTTTTCTTTCCCTGTTTCGTTTTCCCCAAGCCAACTTCGTCACTGCTTACAAACGTCCATGTCTTTGTAATTTGCGTTAACACTAAACGATTTTGTTGAAGCTTGGTTTATTGGACACTATCGCTACTTACTAAAGTCCACAAAAGGGGCCCAAAGTCGCAAAAGCCCGTTCTCCAGACTTGTTACATTTTCCTTAATTGGATATTCATCTTTAAAACAAAAGGTTGTTGGGTGTGGTTCTAACTTGTAACACAATACAGTATAATCTATTCCACCTCTTCGCCATCATCACACCACATCAGCTCCACATGAATGGGGCATGATGATCACTTGAGTGATGGGTGTGAAGAAGAAGCAATCGAGGAAGGAAGAAAGAACGAGAAAAGGTGGTCAGGAAGGGGAATTAGGATGCTCGTGGGGAGCCACTCAATATTAGCATCATTTGAGAGGGGTTGGTGTTCACTAGAGTGATGGGTGGCTAAAGAAGGATCGGGTTGCATGATGCCTATTTTGTCGGGTCGTTTCATAGATATAGTTGGCCCTGGACGAAAAGAAAAAAAAATAAGTTCCCAAAAGTCATAAATATGATAAATATTAAATCGAAAATAGAAAAATCGTTATAAAATTCACTATTAATATTAAAAAAACATAAATATAATCACAACGTTACAAAAACAACTAACTTAAAGAAAAAGATTTCTCTTAGCATTTTTAATTAGGTTAAATTCTATATATCATATATTCTATGAATTTTGGGCCCCTGAAAGACATGGGCCCTAGGCGACCACCCGTGTTGTCCACCGTCTGGACCAGGCCTGCATATTGTATTGTCTTAGGCCCAATGTTATATCCTTCCCACACAAACATGGATGTCCTACTTGGCATTTACATCCTATATAGAGTGATCATTCTTTATTTTCTCTTGTTTTTTGGTTTTATTTGTATTTAAAAAATGGGTAAAAATGATAGATGGTATACCTTTGCTTCCGAACACTCCTTAGAAGAGATTTGATTTGAAGGAATGTGAGAAACGGAGACAACGATTTGACTATTAACATCCTAATTGGCATGCATCAATGTAAAATAAAACTATTGAATCACAAGTGACTCACACCCTTTATCAATATGGGAGGGATCGCTTAATCAACATCGATCTCGATTACTGATAAATACTTAGGTTTACAGGGTGGCACCAATTCTCGCATAAAATTGATCAAAAGTCGAATTAATCACACATATAAATATATGAGACAAAAGTTAGAGGAAAGGGATGTTGTGCTGAGTGCGGACATAATAAGTGATAGATTAAAGAACATTTCAAAATCATAAATTTATAATTAGATAACTATTGAAATCATGAATATCTATAACTATATATTTGTTGTAGATATTATTTTTATTACAATATTACATGTTAACTAAACACCATTTATATCGGTTTAAAAAAATTTAAAATTCAAAAACAAATTTGTAAATTATTTTATGATTATAAAAAATTAAATACATAACAATCATAACTATATATGGTTAAACGGAGTGGTCGATGGCATCCACTCCACCTAGATATAATCATGTCATGGCATTTCAATATCATCTTCATTAAGTGGCGT